CATGCCCCAGGGCCCTGGCACTGGGGCACCCCGGGCTCCAGCAGCCCCAGAGCAGCCCCAGAGCAGCCCCAGAGCAGCCCCAGGTACTCACTCGGTGCCGGGGATGCGGCGGCAGCTGGGGTTGCTATGGAAACAGAAGGATGCACACAGGGCAGTCAGGGTGGGAACCAGGGGGTGACAGCAGGGAAACAGAGCAGCTTGGAGGAGATGGGCACTCAGGGGGACAGCCAGACCTGGTGGCAGGGCTGTGGCACCCAGGGAGGCTGCAGAAATCCTGCCCTGCTGCAGGGAGGGGGGTCCTGGCAGCCCCAGGGGGGTCCTGGCAGCCCCCAGCCCTCCAGGGCACGGGGAAGGACAGCCTGGCCTGAGGCTTTCCTCATCCCCAAGAGTTCTGGAGCTCCAAATCCCCGTTTTTGCCTCTTTTGACCCCACCCTGCCCATCAAAGGAATATTTGGGAGGCCTCTAGGGGCAGCTCCTGAGGAGAACTGAGCTCCTTGTTCCCACCTCCCTGCACGACACCCAGGGACACAGAGAGAGGAGGAGAACAGGGCTAAGAACCCCAAAAATGTGAACACCTCGGGAAAGAAATGGGTCTGGAGAGAAGCCTGCACTCCCCAGGGCACAGCAGGACTTCCAGGGCAGGAGGACAAGGAATGTCTTTGCTCCAGAAGTCCTGGGAAGAGCCCGGCAGGGGGACGCAGGCTGGGAGGGATTGATTTCTGTTAGTCCCCACAAAACCTTCAAAACCAAAGGAATTCTCACTGCTGTGCCTACAAGAGGCAGGGACACGAGAAGGGGAAATCAGACCTTGGGAAGCTGCAGAGCAGCTCCAGGGAGGGAGATCTGGGGGGGAAAAAATTTCCAGGGAAGCAGGAGAACATCCAGGGACATTGCAGTGGGGTGGACTTGATGTGGTAATAATTAGTATTGATTTTATGATTTTAGAAGTTTGAATATTTGTTTTATACTGTATTATACTACACTATTCTACTAACAAAAACTCAATGCTTTTGCAATGGGTATCTGGATATACAATTTCAAGAATCTTTTTCCTAGGCAAAAATGATAAGATTATTGAAAAGCATGTTCGTTTATTACTACTCTTTTTTTTTTGTTTGCCAAAATTTACTGCCTCATCATTGCATGGCAGAATTATATGTAGTTTTATTTTACATATATCTTATACAGTTTATATGAATTTTATATGACTTCCTTAGAATCCAAGTGCTTAGCAAGATAAATTAAATTTGCATTCTGATCTAGAGCACTGGATCACTCCCTGCTTTTCAGTTTTTTAGGCACTGATCCTTCTGAGCTGCTTGACATTTTTACCTCCTTGATTTCAGTCCAATACACTCCAGTCAAGAAGACAGTCCAATCCAGCTTTGACCTCACTGGTCCTGGAATCTAAAACTATCACTAGTGGCTAATTAAGGAATCACCCTTTGGTGAACAAACCCCCGTGACACATTCCACACGTGCACCAGCCAAGATAAGAATTGTTTCTCGCTCTTTTTTCCTGAGCTTTCTCACAGCTTCCCAGGAAAATGCGGGTTTGAGATGAGCACCCAGGGGTGTTAAGAGATGCAGCACACGGTGAGGAGATCATGCAGAGCCCTCCTGCCATACTCACTGCCTGCTGGAGGGGAGCTGGGGGCAGCAGCCCTGGCTGGAGGAAGAGAAACCAGGTGAACATTGCTGGAAATGCTGCCAGAGCCAGGAAAGGAGCACAGGGGGAGCTGGGCTGGTTGCAGTTTGTGCATTTTTGTGTTTTGGCAAAACCACACACACGCTCTCTTTGAACGCTCTTGGGTTCAAAGCCCACCCCTGCTCCCCAGGACTTTGTGTGGCTGCTGATTTGTGAGGAATGGGAAATGAAGAAAAGCAGTAAATGGTTAAAATGAAAATACAAACCCAGGTCAACTCAGATGCTCTCCCAACCTCCAGAGCTCTCATCTGTGCCACTATAATCCATAATTATCCCTAATTACCTCATGGAGAGGCCCTCTAAGATAGACAGAAGCTTCTTTTTCTTATTGAGGGAAATTAGATAAATCAAAATTACTTCAGACTTATCCCAGCAGGCATTAAAAACTGTGTCAGGTTTTACATTCAGACAGAAACTTTAAATAATAGGGCAAAGAAAATAAGAGGCCTTGGTTAATCTGAGCTGTAAAATTCCTGAGACATCTCTGTGACCTTCAAATCACACTTGAGGGGACAAAAATTCCTCCTACTTGTGACTGTGCTCACGAAGAGGTGATTGGAATTCCAGCAGAGATGGAAAAAATGCATTTTTGTGGTGCCATTTCCTCAGGCAGGGTCCGAGCTGGGCTCTGGGAAGGAGCAGAGAGAAGTGGGGACAGTGCCCAGGGGGATCCCAGCTGCAAAGCTTCGAGAGCAGGACGGAATTGTGGATGAAAAATGAGTTAAAGGAGGAAGAAATGCAACTTACCCTGCACTGGGGAGCACAGAGGGACTGGCAGCCCACTGACATGTGAAAATAATAAAAAAAAAGGCAAAATACTCCAGTGCAGAAGTGCTGGAATGTTGTGCAAAGCCACCCACCTGTCCCCAGGCTGGCCCTGGGGCTGGGCACACAGCTCTGGGGCTGCAGCAGAGCTTTCCTTGCTCTTTTTTCTCTCTTCTCAGCTGCATTTCCCCCTTTTCCTGCAGCTCTGCTGGGGATCCCCAGCCTGCTCTCCCTGGGGATTTTATCTCCAGCTCAGGAGGGCCCCAATCCTCAGCCTGGGCTCTAACCTTGACCACCACCCTCATGTCATTACTTTTTAATGGTTTTTTCTTTTTTTTTTTTTTTTCTCTTCTCAGCTGCATTTCCCCCTTTTCCTGCAGCTCTGCTGGGGATCCCCAGCCTGCTCTCCCTGGGGATTTTATCTCCAGCTCAGGAGGGCCCCAATCCTCAGCCTGGGCTCTAACCCTGACCAACACCCTCATGTCATTATTTTTTATTGGTTTTTTTTTTTTTTGTATTTTTGTAATTTTTGTGTATTTTTGTTTATTGTATTTTTATTTTTTATTGCTCCTGGAATTAAGAGGATCCCAACAATCTCAGCCTGCACAAATGCTCTGGAAATGCCTCCCAGTGCTCCCTAACTGCTGCAGTTTGCAGCCCTGCCTGTCCATCTGTCCATCCATCCCTCCCCTGCCTGCTCCCCTACATCCAATTCTGTCCAGTGCAATCTTTAAGGGGAAATGGCACAAACAGGATCCAAAATTTGGGTTCAAAATAAAAATATCAAAAGATCCTCTCCTGCTTTTCACTTCAGGAAATCTCAAAGAGGCTTCTTCGAGCTTGTCCTTGTAATCTTGGGAGTCACAGCAGCTCCCCAGGAGGATGCACTGATCAATGCAATAATGCTCACTGGGATAAAGAGGTTTTTTAGCTCCATTGATCAGGTTTGATTGGAAAGGCACAAAGCAACGGAGCCATCTCCATATTTCACTCACAATTACACAAATCCATCACATTCCTGGCTCGTTTTGCATGGGGAAGTGGGGAACATGCCATTTTTTTAAAATTTAGTATGAGGTTTATTTATTTAATCACACAATCTACACAAGTGCTGGAAGACTGTCCAATGGTAAAAACCATTAGTGAGAAGAGGAAAAGAAATTGAATTTTTTTCTTCAATTCCGTGCTTTCAAAATTGTGGAGATATTCGAAATGTTGAAGTTTTTGGTTGGCTCTGGTCCAAACCAGATCTGCAATTCAGCTGAATTGATTTCCCTGAATTATCTCAGTATCATTAAAATTGAACTATTTTTAATGGATTCATAAATATGAAGCCTTCCACTACTCCACGCTGAGTCAACAAGCTAACTATTATTATTTTTATTATTATTATGATTAGATAATCACTACATTAAATATTTCAACTGCATGCTGCAGAGCACAGACAAAGACAAACCCTAATTCTGCTCTAAACAAGAGCAGTGGCTACTCCAGAGTCAGTGTTGTTAGGAAATGAACACTACCAGTTACTCCAATCCTACAGCCCCTGAGAGGAAAAAGGCACTAAATTAAAAGTTCTGGGTGTTAGAGGAACACTCTAAAAACACAAAAAGAGAGTGAAAGAAATGCAGAGAGCACTTACGTGGGTGAGGGATGCCTGCAGTTTATCCATGGATGGGACACAGACCAAAAACGAAATAAAAAGACAGAAATAGACACACACATACAAAAAAAAAAATGTAGAAGATGTGAGGTGACAGAGAATATGGAGCTGGAAAATCAGCATCCAGTGAGCCCTGCTCAGCAGGGATGGGCAGAGCCTGGGCACAGCTCAGGGACTCCAGACATGCTCAGGGTGGGCTGGGACAGCCCCGGGTCCAGCAGAGGGGTCTGGAGAGAGAATTCCAGCACGGGGCTGGGAACAACAGTCAGGGCTGGATGCAGGAGAAAGGGAAAGCAGAACACCTCTCCCTGCCCTGGTCACACCTGCCCTGCCCACTCCACCTTTAATCCTTTCCTCCTTCCCACCCTGAAGAGCTCCCTGGGATTTATTTCTTCCCTGGAAGAGCAGGACAGTGCTGGGCCACAGCAGAACATGGGAATGGCCCAGGCAGAGCAGAGAGGAGCCTGAGGAATCCATGGAATCCCCTCAAAGCAGCATGTGCAGGACAGAGCAGCCCTCCCTCCCTTCACCTTCACAGCCCAAGGCCAGTCCTGTGCTGGGCACCTCAAAGTGGAAAACAAAGCAGCCTTGTGACACTGACAGCACACTCTCTGTGACCAAAACCCTCCTCAGCTGCTTTTCCTCATTAAAATTCTCCTTCAGAGCCCCTTCTCCTTGGCACCACCAAGGCTGAACTGGAAACACCAACCAGCTCACACGAAAACAACTCCTCCCTTTTAATTACCAACAAAACCCAACCCAAAACCAGAGAAAGCAGAGGGTGCAGCGAGGTCTGTGAGAGAGACAAGGTGAGATCCATGCACGGCAGAGGCTCCAGGAGAGGGAGGCTGGGCTGTACTTACGGACTGGCTGTGTCTTGAACTCGGCGGGCAGGCTGAGCTCCCCCACGCCCTTGCCATTGACTGCTGACAGCCTCACTGCATAGGTGGTCTCAGGCTTCAGCCCCGTGATGGTCACTGTCCCCTCCACGTTGGCTGGGGGGGGGAAAAAGCAGAGAAAAGCTCAGGATTCCAAGAAAGAAATGAACAAACTTTGTTTTCTCCACGCGGGGAGAGAAGGGATAAATAGAGCTGGCTCTAGCTGGGATCACACCACTCCAGGGGGCAATAAAATCAGAATTTCAGCTCCACGTGGGATTGATGTGGAGGATTCAGCTCTGGAGCAGAACTCTCCCTGTTACAGCCCTCCCCAGATCAAAATTCTTTTGCTTTATTTGACTCCAAGATGGATTTTGTGCCACAAGCACTGCTATAGATCATTTTAACAGGACGGATTTGCTGCTGGAATAGCTGAGTTTATTTTCTAAGTGGTGACAGATGAGGGTTCAAAAGCCTCCTGTGGGAAGCAGCAATAGTGAAAACTGTAATTCCAAACACAGGGTTCTTCACCCTGCTCAGACTGAGCTCCCAGCAAAGCCCAACCCTCATTTCCAGCTGCAAATTCCACGCGTCCCTCACAGCAAATGTTTTAAAACTCCATTGGAGCCTCCAACCAGAACCTGGCTTTTCCCTAGAGGAATTTTTCAGTGCTGCTGGGGAAGGAACCAGGATTTCTTGTCACTCCTACCTTCCTTGGCATCGTAGAGCCTCGAGTGCCAGTCCCCCTCGCCCAGGGCCCTCCACTCCGCCTTGTACCTGAGGATGGGCACCCCGCCCGTGGCCTCGGGCTCCTCAAACTCCACCTGGGCACTGCTGGAGTAGGGCTCCACCCTGCCGATGGAGGGCGAGGACGGCGTGTCTGGGGACAAGGGACAGCCGGTGAGACAGCTGGGAAAGAGCCCCCAGCCCCCAACAGCACAGGGCACGGGGGGCTGAGCCTCGGACAGGGGTTAGGCAGGTTTGGAGATGTTAATTAGGGCACAGGTCTTAATTTTGTCTCCTCTCTAAGAGGCTGGAGACTCCCAGTCCCTTCTCCAATAGAGAACGAGCAGGGCAGTGCAGCAAAAGCATCCTGGATGTCACTCTGTCCCCTCTGTCCCCTCACAGGGCTGTGCAGTGCTGGTGTCCCTCTGTCCCCAGTGTCCCCTCACAGGGCTGTGCAGTGCTGGTGTCCCTCTGTCCCCAGTGTCCCCTGACAGGGCTGTGCAGTGCAGGATGTCACTCTGTGTCCCCAATGTCCCTTCCACAGGGCTGTGCAGTGCTGGATGTCACTCTGTCCCCAGTGTCCCCTGACAGGGCTGTGCAGTCCTGGTGTCACACTGTCCCCAGTGTCCCCTGACAGGGCTGTGCAGTGCTGGATGCCACTCTGTCCCCAGTGTCCTTTCCACAGATATCTGCAGTGCTGGATGTCTCTCTGTCCCCAGTGTCCCCTGACAGGGCTGTGCAGTGCTGGATGTCACTCTGTCCCCAGTGTCCCTTCCACAGATCTCTGCAATGCTGGATGTCACTCTGTCCCCAGTGTCCCCTGACAGGGCTGTGCAGTGCTGGATGTCACTCTGTCCCCAGTGTCCCCTGACAGGGCTGTGCAGTGCTGGATGTCACTCTGTCCCCAGGGTCCCTTCCACAGGGCTGTGCAGTGCTGGATGTCACTCTGTCCCCTCACAGGGCTGTGCAGTGCTGGATGTCACTCTGTCCCCAGGGTCCCCTGACAGGGCTGTGCAGTGCAGGATGTCACTCTGTCCCCTCTGTCCCCAGGGTCCCCTGACCATCCCCAAACCCCTGAGGCTGCCCTGGAGCCCTGCCAGGCTGGCCCAGCTCTCAGACCCTGCAGTGCAGCTGCTGAGGGGGCTCTGCCTGAGCTGGGGGGCACAAACCAAAGATCACAGGGAAGAACAAACCCCTGCAGAAACAAGGACCGGAGATGCTGAGCGGCTCCAGCCCAGCAGGAAATCCGTGAACAGCCTCTCTGAAGGCAGCAGCTGCTCTGCTGCTGCCCCAGGGACAGCAGCCATGGGTCCCTGCCCGGCCTGGCTGCTCACCTGCCTGCACCAGGATGAACTCAGAGGACTCCTGCCCGATGCGGTTCACAGCCGTGCAGTTGTAGTTCCCAAAGTCGTTCTCCGAGTCCGGGGTCACCTGTGGGGGAAGGAAGGCTCAGGACGGGATCACAAAACCCTTTTCACTCTGCCAAGGCACCCTGAACTTAGCTGGGGAGAAGCTACAATGAAAGCCGGGTGTTTGTGCTCCCAGGGCTGTGCATGGAGAGCTGCAGTGGGCAAAAAGCAGAGACAAGCAGGGGCTGTCTCTTCTGCTACCAGATTTCCTCCCATTTCCTGCCCCTCTTGATCTTCTCCAACCCGATTTTTTCAGGATTTATACGCTAGAAACACCACCCCAGCTTCATTTCTGCCAAGAGGACAAGACTGAATTCCTCCAACAGCAATTATCTGATGGCACTCCTGGCTGTTGCTCACCTCCAGGTAGCTCGCTGAGGGGGTGTTGTAGATCTTGATGTTGCTGTAGTTGGAGCTGGGCAGGAGCTGCCCATCCCGGAACCAGGAGATGACAGCACTGGGGTAGGCAAACACCTCACAGGTGATGTTCACCTGGTTTCCTTCCCAGGTGTACACGGCCACGGGGCCCTGCAGCTTGGGGGCATCTGAAAGACACGTTTGGGAAGGCAATGGAGCCAGCTGAGCTCCCAAAAAAACCTCCCTGTAAGGATCCCTTGGCTGGAGTCCACCTCAATGCGGGCAGGGGAATATTGGAATATTCCATTAATATTGGAAATGGGAACTGTCCTCTCACCCAGGGCTGGGAACATCTTTTGCTGAAGGGCACAGAGAGAAATCCTGCTGAGCCCCACGGCTGCTCCTGGGCAGCGTGGGAGGAGCAGGCAGCAGGATGGGGCTGGGAAGGGGGAGAACCAGGGGAGAACTTGATTCCCAACAAACGGGAGGGCAGCAGATCCGTGGTGAGGTGCAAAGAGCACCCAGGCAGGGAGAACACCCTGAGGCATCTCACAGGGAGACTTCCACCCCTCACCCTCAGCACCACTTGGCACAGGGAGGGAACAGGGAATGAACCAGCCCCCGTGAACCCCCCAGGGCACCTCCAGGGACATGGCCTGCCAGCACCCAGGCTGGAGATGGGCAGAGAGAACACCCTGAGGCATCTCACAGGGAGACTTCCACCCCTTGACCTCAGCACAGGGAGGGAACAGGGAATGAACCAGCTCCCATGAACCCCCCAGGGCACTTACACTGCACCTCCAGGTACATGGCAAGCACTGGAGATGGGCAGAGAGAACACCCCACAACCTCTCACAGGGAGACTTCCACCCCTCACCCTCAGCACCACATGCATTCCCAGCCTCAGGGAGGGAACAGGGAACGAACCAGCCCCCGTGAAGCCCCCAGGGCACTTACACTGCACCTCCAGGTACATGGCCTGCGAGTCCTGGCCGATGGTGTTGCTGGCCGTGCACACGTACTCGCCCGCGTCCGTGTACTGGATGTCCTTGAGCGTCAGCGAGGAGACGCGCGCGTGGCTGCGCACCACGATCCGCCCGTCCAGCGTCTGTGACAGCACAGCCCGTCAGGGCACAGCCAGCAGGGCACACAGCCCGCCAGGACACAGCCAGCAGGGCACACAGCCTGGCACAGCCCCGGGGCAGCCCCAGGATGGCACATACCCTGCCCCAGGATGGCACACAGCCTGCCCCAGGCAACGCCAGGATGGCAGCCCCAGGATGGCAGTCCCAGGGTGGCACACCCCCTGCCCCAGGATGGCACACAGCCCACCCCAGTGTGGCACACAGCCTGCCCCTGGCAGCTCCAGGATGTCACACTCCCTGCCCCAGGATGGCACACACATTGCCCCAGCCCCAGGGCAGCCCCAGGATGGCACACAGCCTGCCCCAGGATGGCACACTCCCTGCCCCAGGATGGCACACTCCCTGCCCCTAGCAGCCCCGTAGTGCTGAGGATCCCTCACCTGAGGCCAGGTGAGAGCACCAGGGGCAGCTCCCTGGCACCCAGGGGTACCTCCCCGGCACCCAGGGGCACCTCCCTGGCACCCAGGGCACACTGCAGTGGCTCAGAGCACGCAGGGGAAGGGGCAAACACCAAAAGAAGGACCCAAGGTCAGCCCTACGTGGCTGGGAACACTGCATAACTGAGAGCAAAGCTTCTCCCCAGGGTGGGAACTGCAGACATCCAGCTCTGGTTAAAAAAAAAAAAAGCTTCCAGTCAGAGAATCCTGCCCTTCCTGTCCCCTCAGCAATACTGGTTTTATCTCAGTGCCCCTGAAATGGGTAAGGAAGAACAGACCCAGAGCTCAGAGTTGAATCAGGCCAAAAGGAAGCTCAGAACTTTCACCTGAACGTGTCACACCAAGAGAGGAAAGTGCAGTGAAAAGGGCAAGAAAGCCTCTAGAGACAGCCCTGCCTCAAGAAAATTCCAAAATTCCATAACCATTTCCCACACGCAAGAGATTGTGGGGATGCCACTGAAAGAGAGAAACAAGGAGTGTAAAATCCCAGGGGACTGCCAAGGGACTGCAGCCACCCAGCCACCCCAGGCTGCGTGGTTTTCCTCTCCAGTTTGTCACCAAACCCAAGAAAACACCAAGCCAGGGACTCCTCTCTCCCTCCTGCTGCTCCTGCCTCAGCCTGGAAGCTCTCAAGCACCAACTCCCTCCTCTCATTTCTGATTTTGCAGCACAAACACAAGGGAGTAAATCTGGCACCCTCGTGGCTGTGCCTGCTGCCACTCTCCAGGAGCATCTGTTTCCCTGGAAGGTACAGGACAAGTGCTGATAAATGAGGAAAACCCTGAGGATTTCCAACAGCCAAGTGCACAAAAAGCATCTCTGGTGTCTCAGGTGTCAGACCCTGGGCCTGAGCCTCTCTCTGTGCTGAGACTGACAAAGTTTCTACAAATAAATGTCTTTTGTCACCTCAGTTAGCTCCAGTATCAGCTCATGGGCACCAGGCCAATTTCAAATGCACAGAAATAGTGTCTTTTGATGGCACATGAACAACTGGGTGTATTTTTCTCCTCTCTCCTTCCCTGCTGCAATCCCTGGCCAGTGCCATGAGCTACAGCCTCCATCCCTGCCCTGGAACAGTTATTCCATGGGCTCGTGGTGCTGTGGGCATCATTTCAGAGCCTGACAGGAAACTACAGTGGTACCACACCACCAAAATCTGCTTTTATCTGACTGCACTGCTCTCCTTCTGCCTCCCTCCAAACCCCAGCTCATTCTAGCAGCACCCATGGGTGCCAGGACTCCAGACCTGGGGGAACATTCTCAATATTTGTCTCTGTGAGCTCACCAGAAGAGTGGAAGGCACAAAACACCAGTGTGGGATCACCAGAAAAGGCAGTTTTACACCCAAATGCCTCCTGACTTTGTCCCCACTCCCTCAAGATCCACCACCAAGGAGTGCCAGGAAATCATGGTCAGGGATGATTTCATGAGCAATGCAACTGATTCTGAAAACAAAGCCCTGGTTTTTGAATGCAAAAAGTCGTAAGGGAAGAAAAAGAAAGATCAGGAAAAATGCTCAAAGGAAAAGAAAAAGGCCTAGCCAAGAAAGCACAACCAAGCTTTCTCTCTCCCTGCTGCAGCTCACCAGGAGCTCTGGCTGCTGGAGACAGGACAGGCAGGAATTTGGGAGCCAGATGTTGACATCTGTAATCCTTCTACTCAAATCCCCCAATTGCAAGGATCTGGGCTAACAGAGTAACAAACTCCTCGTGCTGGGGAGAGCAGCTCAGGGACACAGGGAATCACTCCTCAGAACAGAGCAGGATGTTCTCTATACTGCAAATTACTGCAATTTATCCCGAGCTGCTGCAGAATTTCCCCAAATTCTGGCCATGCCCTGGGGCACAGATCACAGCTGGGCAAGAGCTCAGGGCCAAAGGGGGAGAGCAGAGACAAATAAACTGCATTTATCCCCCTCCCTTCACCTTCTGGAGCTTTCAGGCCTTTCCCAAACAAGCACCCAGGGATAACTCTGCAGTCCTGCCTGCTCCTCAGCCACTTCCCACCCCCACAAAGCCCTGAAAACCCCAACCCAGGCAGGAATTGCACTGAGGAAGAGGAGGGGTCTCTCCTTGCTCTGTGCTTGCAGAGCAGTGTTTGATATTTGTATTTAACTGCAACCCTAAATACTCCTAAGGCTGCACCAGTTACCAGTCTGGGGTGTGACTGAGGGTACCCAGAGATGCTGCCAGGACTGACTTCACCTCCTCACCTGAAATTCCTTCAGGAAAAGCAAAATATTTAATGCCAAACATTCCCTGACCTTCATCCTGCCGCTGGAACCCACGGCTAAAAGCCCCCAGGCAACTTCAAAGCAATTTAAAAGCAATTTTAGAGAGATATCCTGCACCCCACTGGGGTATTTTGAGACACAGAGGCAGTAAGAAATTTAGAGACAGCAAACTTAATAGTATTAGTGCTCATATTAATCACAAGCTGGAGAGAGAGAGCACAGAGGAAACACTGGGGCAGGGAGGGGACAGCTGTGACAGGAATTCCTGAGTCCTGGAGAGATGCAGCTACTCAAATTCCAAATTCTTCAGCGCAAACTGCTCAGAGAATCTGATGCCTCCACCTGCCACAAGCCAAGAGATTATTCTGAAGGAAGAATGGGCAGGATCTCCCCATGAAACACAGCTGGGTGGTGCTCAGGTTACAGCTTCACGCTGTTCAGTCTCTGGGATTTAGGATGGCTTCAAAATGATTTAAAAAAATCACAGCCTCCACAAAGTTGATCCTAAAAATACAAATCCAAGTCACCCGGTTCTGAGAGCTCGTTTTGTTCTCCACCTGACCCCTGTTATTTGCTTGGGATCTTTCCTTCTGGTCCATTTTGAAGCAAGAGTGCTACAAATCAGCTGCATTATTATCATTGTTGTTGTTGTTACTATGATTAAAGCACAGCACTGAATGTGAAATTAAATCAAACCCCATTTGCACCAACCCCAGTCACTGCATTATCCCACCTCCCCCTCGCTGACCCTTGCAGATCAAAGACAAATGAAAAAAATGCAGCAATTTGGGGCATTTTCTGGAGAAATGCCCCTCGTGCAAGGTTTCTCTGCATTGGCTTGGAAATGGAACATGATGCAGTTTCCTTTACAGAGAAGGTCAAACTGAAATGAAGGAGTGCCATGAGCAAATAGGTGAGTTGGATGGAGCAGAGGAGGCTTTCCTGGGGAAAAATGACTTTCCCAAAATACAGGTTGGTGCTAATGCTTCACTCTCTGAAGGAGAGGATGATTCACTGGCAGCACAGAAAAAAAAAATGGTGAAAAGAGCACTTTACATTTGCTTTTCATTTTAATTGCCTTTTCTTTCATTTTGAAGTGACAAGCAGAGTTCCTCACTCCCAACACAGCTACTTTGCTCATCCAAAAATTGCATCACTACATGCCAAGCAATTTCTACCTCTAGAAGCTGCTTCTTGTACGTACTGGCATTTAACTGGGTCACATTAATGCTTGTTTAGTTGGTTACTGCACTAGAGATCTGTTAATCTGTAATGCTTAGAAGAGAAACCAAAAACCAACAACCTAAAGAAGTTTGCTAAAGGTCTGGGAATCTGATACCTCTTGTTTCTCGGGCCGGGTCCACGAAGCCTGGAGAGAACAGATATAGAACACAACAACAACAACAGAAAAAAAGCAATAAGAGTTTATCAAAGGTTGCTTTCAGGCACCAGTGTCTGCAGCACATTGAGCTGTGTGCACATGCAGGCTCCAAGCTGAGCATCTCCTGTCTGTGGGGGGGGTCACAGCTTCATTTCCCATCAATTTAGGCTGGCATTCACCACTTCACAGCCTTGCATTGGTCTTTAAATGGCTAAACAAAGGCTGCTGCCACCTCAAGACTGATTTATTACATCAGGGATCATTTCCTTTGTCACATCTCACCTTTCCTACACACCTGGTGCTCAGGAAGTGGCTCTGGCCACTGCATTGCAGAGGACAGACCTGGTGGTGTGCCCCTGTTTGCCACCCCACAGCGGTTAATTAACACTGATTAATGTGCTCATCATGCATTTGGAGGCCTGGTTCCATGCAGGCTGTGCCAGGAGGAGGAGGAGGAGCAGCCCCAGAGCTGCAGGGGACCCCCAGCTCCCTGTGCTCAGGGATGGCAGCCCCCAGCCCCACAGCAGTGAAACATGCCCAGACCTTAGTGCAAAGCAAATATTTCCCACTCAGAGAAAGGCACCAGCAGCAAGGACCACGCTCCCCGTGGCTCACAGAGAGCCAACTGCCGTGTTCCATCCCCCCCTGTCATTTGTATTTCAGTTTTTTCTGATTTTTTCAGGAGTCAAAAGTCACCTGCTGGCACGAGAGGCGGGATGGCACCGCTGGCTGTGAGGCACGGTGACATTGTGGGGGTGTCACGGCACACACGGGTGACAGGGATGGAGATGGGGGCTCGGGGAATGAGAATCAGAAACAGAGCCCTGCTGGCAGCCAACACTGAGACTGAAATGCCAACAGATGGGACACACACCTCTCTGGGGAAAGCAAGTGGGCTCTCTGGGACTGGGAGAGGAGCTCCCAGTCCCTGCAGGGCTGCTCATTTCTGGGTGCACAAATCCTGCTGTGCTTGGAAGCCGAGCAGGAGCCCAACAATCCAGAATAATCCCTCTGCTCAGTGCCAGGGATGTCCCCGTGAGTCCCCTGCCACTGCTGCTCTCGGCAGTCTCAGCACAGGGAGACACTCTTCATCCCTGGTCTTCAGCCTCAAGGAGGGTGAAGAAGGAGAAGAGCCCATTCCCAAAGGCTCAGAGTTTCCCTGCAGTGACCCTTGGGAGGGGGGAAGAGGCAGAGCCACGTTTCCCCCCCACCCAGGGGAATTGAAGATGCCCCTTCTCCTTGCAGGGAGACTAAATGGCCTTTAAAGGTCCCTCCCAACCCAAAGCATCCTGTGATTCCATGGTTCAGAGTTTCTCAGCAATGCTGAAGCCAACTCAGAGATGTCAAAATTACCCTAAGAGATGAAATACTGTTGGACACACCAAGCTGATTTTAAGTCTGTTATTATTTCTGTGATCACACATGGATTCTGCCTGTGCTGTGCTCTCTGAAATGTGTCTGCAGCCCACAGGAGCAAGCAGGGCTAATTACCTGTTCCTGTGTGCTTTCCATCTAGGTTTGTTCTTACTTGTTCATATGTGCTTTCCATCTTTGTTTATTTTTACTTGTTCATATGTGCTTTCCATCTAGGTTTATTCTTGTTCATATGTGCTTTCCATCTAGGTTTATTTTTACTTGTTCATATGTGCTTTCCATCTAGGTTTATTTTATGGGTATTAACCTGAAATCGAGTCAGCACAAAAGAAAAAGATGAACTTTTATCTTTTGTGAAGATAAAAGAGAGAATCCCAGGCTAACTCTTCCTCACCCAGACAGAGCCAGAGCAGCTCCACCCAGCACCACACAGGGAATGAGGGGCAATCCAAGGCCTCGTGCACCTTCAGATTCCTAAATTCTGGAAAAATCCTCCCTCTGCTTTGGCTGCCCACAGCACAGAGCTGAGAGAGGCAGAACAGCAACCCAGGCAGCAGAGGAAGGATGGGCTGGGCTGTTTCCAGGACAGCACAACGCCGAGATGGAATTCACCTGCCAGACACTGAAATTCAGCCAGGCCCCTCAGATCCATGCAGAAATCTGCATTTTCCTGCTGGAGGAACAGGGAGCCTTGTGGGGCAGCCCTGGGGGAAGGCCCAGGGACAGCACAGGGGTTGAAGTGTGTTTGGGATGCAGGAGGGAGAAATCAGAGCTGATCCCTCTGCTCTTCCCTCCCTGTGTTTTCTGCCCTGCAGGGCGAGCAGCTCCAGGAGATCCAGCCTGGATAAGGATCAAGGAGCTGCAGAGTGTTTCCCTCCCACCCCACAGGCTGGGCTGCCCTGCTGGGTGACAAACCCAGCAATGTCCCTACAGCTGCTCCCTGGAGGGACAGCCCAAAATCTGCCAGGAGACACAGCTGAACCAAACCTTCCTTTTTTAGGGGGGTTTGGGTGGGTTTTCCAGAATGTTGTGGGAGTTAAACCATCTCTACACCTCAAAAAACCTACACTGAGGGATGATTGCAAGAGCAAACAACACAGAGCAAAAGAGAAGTATCCAAGTACCTGGATAACAGAAATGTTCAAAAGTAGGCTTGGTAATTCTTAAAATAGCATTGTTTGTCCTGCACCAAAGACCATCCACTTCCCTGTGCTGTCCCAGAGAGAGAAAGTGGAGAATAAACTGAATGTATTTGTAAGACAATATTTAATAGAATTAAATATTCTAATAGAATTTGTAGTAGAATATTTAGAGAGCTGTTCTGACCTCAGGATTTTCTGGACATCTGAAGCATTTCCCTCAACTTAGAGCACAAGCGAGAGAATGAGAAAAGTACAAGACAAACCAAAACAAAATGCACACACACACACACAAGAATCCAGCCTAGAAAGTGCATGGGATGTGAGAAAACAACGTTTGCCCTGAAGGTTTGAGCCAGCCCATGAACACATGGCAGCACCTCAAACCTTGGCTTTTCCCCCATCTCAAAGTGTCAGAGCATGAACATTCCCCTTGCTACTGATCACCCACCCGAGAGCATCAGGCAGAGTCTCAAAAATCAGCAAAAATGAGTTAGCAGTTTTGCACTGAGCTGTGATGGTTTAACTGGGCTGCAGAGGGGGGGCTCCTCTACCACCTGGTTCAGCTTTTACATTCTGCTCCCTGCCCAAGCTCTGCCCCTGGCTGGGATCCAAACTCCAGAGCCAGCAGCACTGGAGCCTTGGCACCTGCCAGGGCTGTCCTAACAGAAACAAACCCGGGAATAAATAACCTCAAATCCTGCCCAAGCAGGTGCCCCAGCCAGGCTGCAGCTTCTGCAGGCACTGGAAACCTCTCCCTGAACATTGCAGGGATTCACAGCAGCCCTGGGATCCAAAAGATGCTGACAAAGAAATGGAGCTGGAAAACTCTGGCACCCTGATTAATAAAGTTACACATGAACAACGTGGGGAGGGGCTGACGTCATGGGGGCAATTAAAAAAGCTCATTTAGGAGCTGCAGGGCAGGACAGCAGCTGTGGGGACAAGGGACAGTGGACACCTCTGTTGCTCCAAGACTTTCAGAGTGTCACCTGCTGCCTCCACGCCGAGCCAGAACCCCTGGCATGGCCAAGGCAGCTGAGCCCTCAAGCACCCTGTTATTAGGAGATTATTAATTAGCAACAACTCCTCACTCCTACTTCTGTCTAGGCTCCAAATTCTGCCTCCTGATCACTCATGAAACATCTCCAGTACAGCAGCACACCCCAGCCTGGTCTAACTAAAGGAATTATTGTCGCCAATAACAACACCAGCAATCCCATTCAAGAATAAGAAAAAAACTGCTAATTATTTTTGCCTTTTAAGAACAAAATGGTATTGATGGGATCAACAGAACAGGTGAGCACAAAAGGCAGGCAGGCTTTTGTGCTTCAGGGATGTGCAGTGTCAGAGGGCAGCACGGAGGAGGGATGGACAGGCTCGTTTTGGATCCACTGCCCTCACCTGCCCCTGCCCAGCTCGGGGGTCAGGGGGCTCAGTGCCATCCCCCAGAAGCTCCCTGCAGCTGCAGGAGCTCCTGGGAACAGGGCTCAGGGTGTCTCCAATGGAATTCACCCCCAGTGAACAGAGCAGGGATTGCAGAATGACTCCCCAGCTGTCCTGAGCCGAGCTGGCTCTCACAGGAGGGTACATGGGGCACTGGCCCTGGTGTGGCACTGGCCCTGGTGTGGCACTGCCCAGATGTGGCACTGGCCCAGATGTGGCACTGCCCAGGTGTGGCACTGGCCCTGGGCCCTGCAGGAGCAGGGCCAGCAGCAGGATCTTTTCAAAACTGGGGTGACTCTCACAGGAGGGCACCTGTGCCCCTGTCCCAGCTGTGCCCCTGCCCGAGGTGTGCCCCTGCCCCAGGTGTGACACTGTCCCAGCTGTGCCCCTGCCCCAGGTGTGACACCCATGCCCCTGCCCCAGCTGTGCCCCTGCCCCCAGGCCCTGCAGAGCAGCCCCCCCGTGCCCCCCATGCAGCTGCAGGCCAGGGCCAGGCAGGTGCTGCTCCCACCCCCCGAGGGGCTCGGGGCAGGGCTCTACCTTCTCCTCACTGCTGATGTTCCTGCTGGAGGTTCTCCAGGTGATGGAGGGGATGGGGTCCCCCGAGGCCTCGCAGGTCAGCGTGATCTGGTCCTCCAGCTCCATGGCTGTCTTGTTCTCCACGTAGGTGATTTTGGGTTTGGCTGGGGAGGAGGAGGAGAAAGAGGAGCCTTGGCTCAGGTGGGGCTCAGGGTGAGCTGCTGTCACCAGCAGTGCTGGGAACAAGCAGCACTGGGGACAACTGGGGCCACCCCTCCTGCCAGCTGGGGAAGGAGCAGAGGGAATTTTACCAGGGCACCTCCTTGCAGAAGGGAAGGAGCTGAAAAACCTCTTGTGCTCATTCTCCCAGCTGAGGCTCCAGCAGAGGAGCCCGTTCATAGTGCACAAATGCTCACCCTGGGATTACCAGCTCCCCCTTCCACCTCCCTGGCCCAAAGCCCCCAAATTCCCCCTGCCCCTTTGCTAAGCAGCTGGGCCAGCTGCACACAGGGCAGGGGGAATTCCATGTTCCTCAACACTTCCAGGCTCCTGGGAGCCAGGGAAGCTCCTGCATACCAAAGCAGGGACAATTCCATGTTCCTACACACATCCAGGCTCCTGGGAGCCAGGGAAGCTCCTGCACACAGGGCAGGGGGAATCCCAAATTCCTCAACACTTCCAGGCCCCTGGGAGCCAGGGAAGCTCCTGCACACAGGGCAGGGACAATTCCATGTTCCTACACACATCCAGGCTCCTGGGAGCCAGGGAAGCTCCTGATTCTCCCCTCCAAGCCTGAGGTCACTCCCGCAGTGCTGGGGTGGAGCTCACCTCCCCATCCAGGCTGCAGCAAGCCCCACTCAAGTGGCTAAAACCCTTTTTCAACAGCAGCTTTGGTGGATTTGGAAATATCCTGGAGGACATTTCCATCAGCCTGTGGATCTGACCCACCAGCCCTGCCTGTGTTTGAGCTGACAGGAGCTGGGACGAGCTCCCCACACACCCAGAGGGGCACAGGCACAGCTGGGGATACCCCCAGCAGGATTAACTGGGACAAAGATCTCCCCCAGCTCCCGCCAGGGTGGGCAGCACCCAGCTGGGCTGCCAGAGCTCTTTTGGGGGCTGTTACCAAAGACTTTGAGGTGGATGGTGGCATCGGCCTCGCCAGCCTTGTTCTCAGCAATGCAGATGTACTCGGCCTCGTCGCTCTTGTCCACCCTGTGGATGGTCAGCTCGGAGCCGTCCGAGGTGAAGCCGTACTTGTCCTCGTCCTCCACCTCCTCCACGGGCTCTCCATCCCTGGGGGCACAGAGCACACGGGGCTGAGCTGGCAGAAGCCATGCCAGCCTGCTTCAGGCCTGCCCATGCAGTTATTGCACTGCAGCTCACAGGGAGCAGCCCCTTCTCCTCTCCTGGTGGGCTCCAGAGCTCAGCTGCAGGCCATTCCCAACCCCTCCTGCCCCAGGGCTCTTGGCAGCTGCAGCTTTCCCCTCCTGGCACACCACAGGGCAGCTGTAACCCCATCAAAGGTGGCTCCTTGCACACCAAGGCAGCACTCCAAGCTGCCATCAGCTTTTCCAGGGCAATTTCTGCTCCTAACCTTCACGCAGAATTCCAAGAACTCCAGAATTCCAGAGTCCCTGGAGCGGGAGTCACTGCCTGACAGGCAGGGAGCTGGGAGGGGACACAGCTGAACAAGGGGGTGCACTGAAGGAATTCCTTGGTTTGCTCTGCTTTATGAAATTGTTTTTATCCCAACCAACAAGATTTTCACCCTCAGATTCTCCTCCCTGCGTGGGCTCTGTGCTCCCAGCCTAACCCACAGCAGAAGGTGATTTCAGCCCCACCATGAGGCCCTTCTTGTGAGCAGAATCAGCTCATCCCAGCCAGAGCATTCCCTCCCTCAGCCTGGCTTGGCAGGGAAGCACCCCCAGGCCAGCAGCACACTGCACACAGCATCTTACTTGGTCCAGGTGACGGTGGGCTCGGGAAAGCCATCAGCATCACAGGCCAGGGTGACAGACTGGCTGAGGTTGGCAGTGGCATTCATGGTGCTCTGCCTGGCACGCACCGAGGGAGGCACTGCAAGAGAACAGAGCCACGGCTCAGCTGGGGAGGACAGAGGTGGGAGCCACAGGGAGCTCCCTGGGCACCTCTGGTGGCACCAAACCCTGTCAGCAGCACCACCACCAGGGTTTAACCAGTGAGTTTGAGGCATGGCCAAAGTTATCAGCACAGGGGAGAAAGGGCAGCGGGGTGGGAGACACAAAAAAACTCAGCGTGGTGGCCAGAGCCACTGGTGAGTGCCACCAAGCTCAGCTCCTCACTCTAACCTTCAGGTTCCTCGAGGTGTTACTCCTGTAAACACCTGGCAAACACTCCCTGAGCTCCAGGGACATTTTTGTTGGACACAGCAGAGGAAGAGGATGGTGTGAATGCGAGGCAGCACCTCCTGCAGCAGCCTGGGGTGAGGTGCTGCTGAGCCCCTCACCGTTCACGATGACCTGGATGTCCTTGAAGTTGATCTCCCCTCGGGCCAGGATCCTCCCCTCACACCTGTAGGTGCCCTCATCTGTCTTCTTGATGCCCCGGATCTGCAGGTAGTTGTTGGACAGGACGATGAAGCGCACTGCAAAGCACAAAGGCACGGGGAGCTCGCTCAGCCTCTCCTCTGCTCGGCCCTGCTGGCCCTGGGGGGACAAAACCTCCCTCCCCACCCTGAAACGGAGATGCTGCTGGAGCTGGAACTGCCTCTGCCAGGCAGAAACAGCTGTGGAGAGCAGCCAGCTGCTCTGGGATGTGCTCAGTGAGATGGACAGACTGACAGGTGTCAGCGTCCCACAGACAGCTCTGGGATGTGCTCTGGAGGTGACAGAGCAGTGTCCCAGGAGGTGACAGAGCAGTGTCCCAGGAGGTGACAGAGCAGTGTCCCACAGACACATTTACACTCCATCACATGGCCAGCCAGCAGTCTGGGACTCATCCCCCCTGCCCAAGGGCTCCAACCTCACCACCTGTGTGCCAGCTGTGGGAAACCTGCTCAGCTGGAGTCAGAGCCCCTGCCAGCCCCTCTGGAGCACTTGGGAATAAAGGGAAAAGTTCCTGCAAGGAGCTTTCAGCCCCTTTCCCTCAGGAAGGTGGAGGGTGTCACAACATCCAGCTTTTCTGTCTGATGGCTCTGCTTTGCTCTTTTTTTTTTTTCCAGCATTCCTTGGCTGGTTTCGTGCCACAGCCTGGTGGCCACTTCAGTGGGAACATGATTGCCCTGCCCCTGGCAAACCACAGCACTTGGGGTGACTGAATCCACATCCCATGGTCTCGGGTCAGGCAAAGCTGCTTCCCCCACCCCTTGTGACCACCAGCACCCTGTGTGGGAGGGAGGTGGACACCTGACCCCAGGGTGGACAAGAACCAAGCCCTTACCATCCTTTTTTAGGATGACATCCCTGCCTTTGTGCTTCCAGATGATGGTGGGGGGCAGAGAGCTGACCACGTCACACACGATCACAGCATCGTCCCCCTCCTTGAACTCCTGAGGGGTGGGAGCGTTCTTGAACATCAGCTTTTCTGGAAAAAGGAAAGGAAAAGGTCACTGCAGCTTTTTCATCTGGAGCTGTGCTCCTGCCTCCAGCCCGAGGGCAGCAGAGACACCCCCAAATCCCAGGGATCTCCCTGTTCCAGGATTGGGGTCTGAGTGAAGGCACTGCCCACAGCACACCCATTTCCAGCCCTGTGCCCACAGGGGGCTGAGTTACCACCCTGAACACCCCCTGGCACTGCTCAGCTCCCAGCAGGGAGGGAGAAGCTGCTGCAGGGCTCTGCTGGAGCAGCTGCTGGCTCTTCACAAACCCTCTGGACCTGGGGGTCCCTCTCCCCTCCACACCAGAGGGGTGTGTGTGTCACCCACATCAGCTCCTGTCCCTGTTCCCCCTGCCAGGAGCTCCATCCTCTTCTCTCCCTCCTTGCTCTGCTGCCTCTCAGAAAGATTTCAGCCACGGGGCTGCTGGAGATGCCCTGAGCTTCCAGCCCATCCCATTCCCACCTTCCCCTCCTCACCAGGAAACCAGGCAGCACCTCAACACCTTTCCTTCACCCTCCTCTACCCTCCAGACCTTTTCCTAGGAAGGTGAGCAAGGAAAGAGCCAGCGGGTCAAGAAAGGAGTAAGGGGAGCAAGGAAAGAGCCAAGGGGTCAAGAAAGGAGTAAGGGGAGCAAGGAAAGAGCCAAGGGGTCAAGAAAGGAGTAAGGGGGGCAAGGAAAGAGCCAGGGGGGCAAGGAAAGAAAGAGCCAAGGAAAGGGCCAGGGGGGCAAGAAAAGAACTAGGCAGGGGGGCAAGGAAAGAGCCAGGGGAGAAAGGAAAGAACCAGGGGAGAAAGGAAAGAGCCAGGGGAGAAAGGAAAGAGCCAGGGGAGAAAGGAAAGAGCCAGGGGAGAAAGGAAAGAAAGAAGCAAGAGGGTAAGGAAAGAGCCAGGGGGGGCCAGGAAAGAAAGAGCCAAGGAAAGGGCCAGGGGGACAAGAAAAGAACTAGGGGGGGCAAGAAAGGAGCAAGGGGGTAAGGAAAGAACCAGGGGGAAAGAAAAGGGCCGGGGAGACAAGGAAAGAAAGAGCCAAGGAAAGAAAGAGCTGGAGGGGGGCAAGAAAAGGGACGGGAGGGGCAAGGAAAGAACCAGGGGGGACAAGAAAGAGCTGGGGGGCACGAAAAGACCTGGGAGTGCAAGGAAAGAACTTCTGAGGGGAAAGGAAAGAGCCAGAGGCAGCTGCCTTACGGAAAATCTTGACGTTGACGGTGGCCTCGGAGTCGCCCTCCTCGGGGCTGCTGACCACACACTTGTAGATGCCGGCGTCGTCGATGTTGGCGTTGTAGATGGTGAGCGTGGAGGAGAAGTCATCGTTGCGCACCACCGAGATGCGCTGCTGGTTGGGGCTGAGCCGCTCCCCGTTCGGGGAGAACCACGAGATGTCCTTGAACTTGGCCTCCCCGGCCACTGCGGGGACACAGCGGGGTGAGACAGCCCGGCCCTGCATGGCCCCAAGCCCAGGGGGTGCCCCAAAATCCACGGGCTGCCCCAAAACCCCACAGCACAGTGAGACAGCCCGGCCCTGCACGGCCCCAAAATCCAGGGGCTGCCCCAAAGCCCCAGGGGTTGCCCCAAAACCCCACAGCACAGTAAAACAGCCCAGCCCTGCATGGCCCCAAGCCCAGGGGGTGCCCCAAAATCCACGGGCTGCCCCAAAACCCCACAGCACAGTGAGCCAGCCCAGCTCTGCATGGCCCCAAAGCCCAGGGTCTGACTCAAACTCCCTGCTGAGGGTCTGCCCCCAAACCCTCCTGTTGAGGGTCTGACTGACTCCAGAGCATGGTTAGACAGCCCAGCCCTGCATCACCCCCAAACCCCAATGCTGAGGGTCTGCCCCAAAGCCCAGGGTCTGACCCAAAACCCACTGCTGAGGCTCTGCATGTCCCAAACCCCACTGCTGAGGGTCTGACCCAAAACCCACTGCTGAGGGTCTGACCGACCCCACAGCTCAGTGAGACAGCCCAGCTCTGCATGTCCCAAACCCCAGGCTCTGCCCCAAATCCCACTGCTGAGGCTCTGCATGTCCCAAACCCCACTGCTGAGGGTCTGCCCCAAAGCCCAGGCTCTGCCCCAAAGCCCCCTGTGAGGCTCTGACCGCCCCCAGAGCAGCAATACCATCCCAGCAGGGTCTGTCTCATTTTTAGATGAACCCTTCAGCCAGCACGCACCTTGACATAAGAAGAACTTGGATTCTCCAACGCTGATCTCCCCCTGGCTGGGAACAATGTCCACTTGGAGAGAGGCTGGAAGGGAATGAGCACAGTCAGACACGGGCTGTGGGCTCCAGCAAAACACCTCTGCCAGCCTCACCATCCCCATGGATCCTTTATTCCATTTACAATTGGATGACACCTATTTTCTGATCTGAACTGCTGGTTTTAAACACCAGGGGAAGGTTTTAAACATGAGAAGAAGGTTTTAAACACCAGAACAAGGTTTTCAACACCAAAGGACAGCACCCATTTACCATTTCCCATTCCCATTTACCATTTCCCATTCCCATTTACCAGCAGCCCCTCCCAGTGCACACCCACGCAGGCCCAGTGCCCTCTTCCCCCAGCATCATCCCTGCCTCCTTCTTCATTGCATAAATTATGACCCATTAGGCAGAAAATGTAATTGGATTCTGGCTCTCCTCCAGCTACAGCTTAATTCCACAGCAGATCTGTGGCCTAACAAGCCCAGGTCAAGTTGAATTTGAGGACGCCAAAATAGGTTTTCTTTGGAAAACACCCTCTGTGCTTTCATGTAGAGCACGAAAATCTGAAAATCTCTCCCCCAGAGCAGCTAATTTTACCTCCAGACCACAGAGGCATTACTTCAGCTGCCAAGCACACCTGGGGTTACGAGAAACAAGCACAAGAAATGAAAACCTGGCTGGGTGTGCCAATGGCAACATTCCTTAAATGTGGGGAAACACGTGGGCTGGGGGTCAGGCACTGAGCCTGCAGCTCCCACAGCTGAGGGAGCACTGCCTGCCCTCGCCAGCAAACACAGGAATATCAGGGATGATCAATCTCATTCCATGTTCTTAGAGGGTTAATGTATTATTTTATGGTATTAAAGAATGCTATACTAAAACTATACTGTGGAATAGAGGAAGGGTACAGACAGAAGGCTGAAAAGATAATAATGAAAACTCCTGACTCCTTCCAGAGTCCTGACACAGCCTGACCCTGACTGGTCATTAAGTCAAAACAATTCACATGGAACCAGTGAAACAACCACCTGTGGGTAAACAATGTCCAACCACATTCCAAAGCAGCAAAACACAGGAGAAGCACATGGATAATATTGTTTTCCTTTTCTCTGAGGCTTCTCAGCTTCCCAGGAGCAGAAATCCTGGGCAGAGGGATTTTCCAGAGAATGTGGCTGTGACATTCCCAGCTCCCCTGTCCTCGTTTCACTCCACAGAGCTCAGCCCTGGCTGCAGGAGCGGCTCCAGGGGGATTTGCTGCCACTGTCACCTGGACAAACAGGTCCCCAGGACAACGGGCTGTGCCTGCAATCTCACAAACCACCCCCAGCCCTCAGCTCGGGCTGTGATCACACTGCCAAAGCCAGCACTGCTGGTTTTAATCGCTGTTTAATCGTTATTTCTGCTTTGCAGTTCAGGGAAACGGGACTATTTTTCCACTCTTCATTTAATAGACACTGCGAGCCCATTTGTATTCTGCTTCCAACTTCAAGCAATAAAGGCCTTTTTAGCATCACATAATAACTGCATTAAAAGGCCTCTTCATAATCACACAATAACACTTTTTATAGCTCTGCCCTCCCCCATATCTTTTATCTGGTTATAAAGTTCCACAGCCCCCAAAAAATGCTGAATAATTCCCCATTGATTAAAAAAAAAAAAAAAAAAAAAAGACAACAAATTTGCTAATGCAACTTCCTGTTCATCTGTAGTTCAATATAATTAGTTTTGCATCTCAACAAAAGAAATGAGCTCAAATTAAGCCGTGGTTCTGGTAATAGGCAGGGAGGCTGTGTCCCTGCTGGGCTCAGACTGAGCTGAAGGCAGGAGGCTGTACCTGGGCACTAAATAAAGTAAATTATGGGGAACTGGGCCTGTGGCTGCCCAAATTCCACAGGTGACACGCCAGGAACAGGAATATGAGTGGTCACACTGCTCTGGCTCCACAAAAGGAACGTCTAGGAACACTAAATACACCCAATTAGTGGGTGTATTCCCTCAGATAAATGCAGCTCAGCCCCTCACACCCCTCCCTTCCCACAAAACCACTGCTCCTTTCCAGCCCCCAGCACCGACCCCGAGAGGTCCCAGGTTGGGCTTGGAGGTCAGCAAGGACTGAAACCCTCTGGCCTCAGCCCACTCCAGCACTGGGGTCACTCCAGACCCACATCCCCAGGGATGCATCCACACTGCAACCCCCACCAAGGGCTAAACTCAGTTCTAAGAGCTAAACTCAGTTCCAAGGGCTCTCCCTCCCACTCTGAGCCCAGGAGGGAATTTGGATGGGGTCTGCCTTGGAGGGGGTCCCCAGGAGCAGGAATGCTGTCACAGGTAACCCAGGTAACGATGCTTTACTGCAACAAAGCCCAGAGAAAACCCAGAATCAAAAAACCCAGAAAAAAAAACCCCAGAATCAGAAAAAAACCCAGAATCGAAAAACCCCAAAATCAAAATATCCAAAAGATCTGGGCCAATCAAGCCCAGCAGGGATGAATTCAGCTGTGACCAAACCCCTGCTCCATTCTCACGGGCTGTACCTTTAATTTCGCTCATTTCTAGCAACGATTCACCAATTAAACCCAATTCCAGAAATAAAAAACCATCAGGAAAGAAACATCTCCAGGATCTAATGGCCGGGATTTGCAGAGCTCGTGAGCACGAAGCAGATTATGGTGAAAGCCCTCGGGGTTTAATGCACAACAAAGGCTTAACGAGACAAAGACAAGGCTCCTGTGCGCGGTCACTTTATTAAAAATACGCTGAGTGCTCGGGAGGAGGAGGAGGCAGCAGCTGGGATTGATCCCAGCTGGGATGCAGATCCAATTCCTGCCCCGTCGCCATGGCAACCGCTCCCTAAATCTGCCAGGAGCGGGAGGAGGGGATGGCTGAGTCCTGTGGGAATATCGGGTCCTGGAGAGGCGGCAGCTGAGTGCACAACAGCAGGGAAGGTGTGCCCAGAGAACCCCAAAATTAAATAAAGGTGTGCCCAGAGAACCCCAAAATTAAATAAAGGTGTGCCCAGAGAACCCCAAAATTAAATAAAGGTGTGCCCAGAGAACCCCAAAATTAAATAAAGGTGTGCCCAAAGGCACCTCCAGGGGAGGAATCCCAAAATAAAGGAGTGCCCAAACGGGAGGGACACCCCAAAATAAAGACACCAAAGCCACCTCCAGGGGAGGGACATCCAACATAAAGAAAGGAGTGCCCAAAGGCACCTCCAGGGGAGGAATCCCAAAGGAAAGATGTGCCCAAAGGCACCTTCAGGGAAGGAACACCCCAAAATAACGACACCAAAGCCACCTCCAGGGGAGGGACATCCCTAAATAAAGGTGTGCTTGGCCACCCAGCTGAAATCAGGGGCCCAGGCAGCTGTGGCAGCACAAAAACGCAGGCAGGGAACCCAGAGAGGTTTCTCCTCTGCTTCGTTTCAGTCAGAATTATCCTGCTCCTGAACAAAGTGACACGGCCAAGCTGATGCAGGGAATCTGTGCAGGGAAAAGGAAATCATTCCAATTATGTCCACCTCGTGAGCCCATCCTTTCCTTGCACAAGATCTGCTCACAAGCGCTTTTAATTTTTAAATGACCACAAGGCACACTAAAAAATGATCCCATGAACACCTTTTCCTACAGGAATTTATGAACTGCAGTAAAACTTCCCAGACACCTCAGTATTTTTACATGGAACACAATTTTATGCCTCTTTTGACGACATTCTTGATAAAAGCTTTTTATTGCTATGGATCATAAAACTAATAGTCCTATTTACCACAGCAAATATTTTCATTTACCTGAGGCAGGGTAAGCCAGGATGCTTTATGGAGCCATTAAATCAGAGAATGGACAACTTTAATTAAAAACCAAGCAAGTTACAATCTCGTGCTGAAAGAGAAATCTGGGTGGGTGACAGGGTGCTGCGGGAAGAACCCGGAGCAGATGAGGAAAGCAGGAATTGTAAAAGCTCAGGACTCAAGGATCTGTCAGATCTCTTGGTCCAGATGACCCTGAGGTGTTAGAAAGTCTCTTTTCCCCAGCCCCAGGACAGAAGAAGGAGTTGGGATTCCTTGGCTCTGCTTTCCAAGGCTGTTTATTTTCTCGTATCTAACACATTCCTTCTCCAACCCGCTGAGCTCTGTCAGCTCCAGCTCGGGCTGGCAGAACACAGCCAAGGTGAAGGCAATGAATCAGAGCCCCTCCAATGCACACAACAGGAACAGTTCACACAACCCCAAATTTAGACATTTACAGCTCCAGAAGCTCAAAAATAGGTGATGCCAAGGCAGAAACAGAAGGAATCTGCACCCAGCCAGGGGGTCCAAAGGCCTTGAGCATCAGCTGTGACTGACAGGATAAATAAACACTCCCCAGATTGCCAGGAGCCAAGAAAAGCCTTCATCCTTCATCCCTGTCCTCTGGGAAGGCTCCTGGAAACCCAGGGAGAATGCAGCCCAGCAAACACAAGAAATGCAATCACTGCACCTCATCAGTTATGCAAGGCAGACAAAGAATGTTTCAGCTGAGCTTTTGTGCCCCAAAATTTAAGAGAACTGTCAGGAGCTCAGCTCTGAACCTGCCTTGGTCTCTACAAGCAGCACACTCCTTGAAATAACTTACTCCTACTTGCAAGAATTTACTCCAAGACTTGCAAGAATTTACTCCAAGAAAGCTCCAGAAGAAAACGTCCAGTGATCCCCAAACACAAAATGGATTGCACTGGGTTTTCACACCTCTCTCTCCACTGATCTCCAAACACAAAATGGATTTTCACACTTCTTCTTATGCAGTAAAATCCAGGACAGGGGGAAAATTGAAGGAAAGGGAACCAGACTCCAGACTTCAATTTCCCAAATTCTACACACGAATTTCCCAAATTCTGCACTTGAATTTCCCAAATTCTGCACTTGAATTTCCCATATTCTACACCTGAATTTCCTGAATTCTGGCAACAGCACTCCCAGGCACAGGGTGGGATTGCAGGGCCAGGAGTTGGACTTGGTGATTTTTCTGAGTCCCTTCCAGCTCAGGATGTTGTGGGGTGACTTTTGCA